TTATGAATACGCATGTGTAGGAGATAGGACAAGAAGGGAAAGAGTTAGTGGTCTAATTTGACTGGAAAATGCAGTCTGTAGGTGAGTAGTCTGAAATAAAGCTGGAAAGTTCTGTAGGATTACAATTTAATCAAGGGGATATTCATAGGCAAAGAGGAAACAATTCACTTTTTTTTGGCAATGATATGATTTACTTAGAAGATCATAAAGAGTCAACCAAAAAATTAATTGAAATAACTTCTGCAAAGTTGTAGCATATAAACTAAATCCGTAAAATGTTAGTATTTCTTTATATTACCAACAAAACCCAGCAGGAAGAGCTAGAAAAAGAAATTACATTTGGGGCAGCTAGGTGGCACAGTGGAGAGAGCTCTGGCCTTGGAGTCAGGAGGACCTGAGTTCAAATCTGGTCTCAGACACTTGACACTTAGTAGCTGTGTAATCCTGGGAAAATCACTTAACCCCAACTGTCTCACCAAAAAAAAAAAGGAAAAAAATTCTCAATAAATAAGAATCCATTAAAAAAAGAAATTATATTTAAAATAAATACAGAAAGCACAATAAATTTGAAAGTAATTTCTACTAAGATTTGTCCAGGAAGTATGTGAATTCTACTATTAAGCAGTATTTGCAAAGATAAAGATAGATCTAAATAATTGAAGAAACGTTAATTGCTTAGGGGGGATAGGTTGAGTCAGTATAATAAAAATGACAATACTACCAGAAATAACTTATTCAGGCTATAACAATAAAAGTACCAACAGATTATTTTTTAGAGCTAGAAAGACCAATAATGAAATTCCAATGGAAGAACAAAGGATCAAGAATGTCAAGGATAGTAATGAAAAACATCAAGCAGAAAGAGGGCCTAGTAGTCCTGGATCTCAAATTATAAAATAAAATAAAGAGGTTGGTCATTGGAACACCTTGAATATATAACAGAAGCAAACACAGTAGCATAGTTTTGATACTCCCAAAGACCCCATTTACTGGGAGAAGGCCTCATTATTTGACAAAAACTGCTGGAAAACTTGCATAGTAATCTGGCAGAAATTAGGTATAGACCATATATTAAGATAAACTCCAAATTGATATGTAACTTAGACATAAAAGGTAACATGATAAGCAGATTAAAGGATCAAGGAAGAAACTGCCTTTTAAATTACAGATAGGAGAAAAGTTCATGACTAAACAAGCAATGGACAGGATAACAAGATTAAATGAATAATTTTGACTATATGGCAAGTTTTTCTGATAAAAGATCTTATTTCCAAGACGTATAACGAATTGATTCAAATTTATGACTAAGCCATTCTCCTTTAAAAAACAGGTAGTTTTCAAAGGAAGAAATCCAAGCTGTTGACTTCCATATGAAGAGGTATTCTAAATTGATTAATTTGAGAAATACAAATTAAAGTTGCTGTTTCTAACTCATACCCATCAGATTGGAAAAATTAACAAAAAAGGAAAATGACAAATGTTGGAGAGGTGTGGGAAAACAGATATGTTAACCCGATGTTGGTAGAGCTTTGAATTGATGCAGCTATTCAGGAAAGCAATCTGGAACTATGCCTCCAAAGCAATCAAACTTTCATCCAACCGTACCACTTGTAGGTATAGCTCAAAGAAATCAATGAAAATGTACAAATGTATAAAAAAATTGTACATTATACAAAAATGTACACAAATATTTGTAGCAGCTCTTTTCTTAGTAGCCAAAATCTATAAACTAAGGGGGAGAGAATATCTTATTGGGGAATGGCTAAACAAATAATGTCATATGAATATAATAGAATATTATTTTGCCATAAGAAATTATAAAGTGTAGAGTTTTAGAAGAAACTATGAAGTGAGCAAAAGTAGAACAAATAATACAATAACATTATAGAGAAAAATAACTTTGAAAGATTTTAGAACTCTTCATCATTGTAATGATAAACCATGAGCCCAGAGAACTAAAGATGAAACTTACTTCCCTCCTCCTTCCAGTGAAGTGATGGATTTGAAATGCAGAATATAAGTGTTTTTGAAGATGGCCAATGTAGGAATTTGTTTTGCTGAACTATGCATGTTTTAATATTTTCTTTTACTTTTTTCCTTGTTTAGTTGGAGAAAATATATGTATGTAAAAATATGTATAAATATGTATACATGTAAAATAAACCTACATGATAATACATACAATGTAAAAATAAATTAATTTTTAAGAGCTATGAGGAGGCCAGTTTGTCACTGGTCTTAATACCAGCCTAGGATACATATATTTTATTCCATAAACATCAGGGAGCCGCTGGAGGTTTTTGAGTAAGGTATTCTCATGGCAAGACATTGAGAAGAGAGAAGTAATCGTTGAAAAAGGCACCAACGCAGACAATGAATGATAAAAGCACGACAGTCTGGAGCCTTTCAGTGAAGAAGCATAACCTCACCCCCCAACACCCTAGTAATGCAGTGCACCCCGGAGTTGCAGCACAGGACCAAAAAAGAGATATTAACACTGATTCTGAGTCAGGAAGGTGTTTGTGGATGTTCAGTAGACTTCCTTTTAAAATGCAGAGGAGTGATGCACATTTAAAAAAAAATTCCAATCCAGAGGCTTAAAATCAAATCATTTTGGTGGTTAAAATTTTTGTTATATCTGTACGTCAGTAAACATTTACTAAGTGCCTACTATTTGTCAGGGACTGTGCTAAGGACTAGGGATACAAATACAAAAAGAAAGATAGTCTTCACTCTTGAGGAGCTTATAATCTAATCAGAGAAAATAGTACACAAGGAGTGAAAAAAGGAAAGGTACCCAGTATGAGTGTGTGATGGAGAAGTGAAAAGGGCTGCAGCCAAATGGGAAATGAAGACCTTATTTCCTGAGGTGTCTGGAATCACTACTTCCTTAATAATACTTCCTACAAGATTTTTTTTAATAGCTAGGGAAACCAAAACTGAGGGAAAAGATGATTAGTCCAAGATCCCCAAGCATACTTGGTAGTTGAGCTGGAGTCAGGTGTAGTATTGTCTATGTTTTTTTTTTGGCTAGGCAATGGGGTTAAGTGACTTACCCAGGGTCACACAGCTAGTAAATGTCAGGTGTCTAAGGTCAGATTTGAACTCAGGTCCTCCTGACTCCAGGGCTAGTGCTCTATCCACTGCACCACCTAGCTGCCCCTGGTATTGTCTTATTTATCTTTTTTGTTGTTTCTAGAAACTTGGAAGTTCATCTTCTTAAGCATCAGCTTAGCCTTGTCTTTTTGCTGGAGTGGGAAGTAAAAATGCCCTCCATTTTAGGGGAAGACAGGTGGTGTTGTGGGGGGCAGCGGGGGTTGCTGGGGAAAAAGCAGAGAGAAGACAGAGAACTGCAGAAGACAGATTTTCACTCAGACTTCCAGCAGTGAAACCCTTATACATCTGTCTGGGCAAGTCACTTAAACTCTAGGAACCCCTGTTCCTTCAGCTGTAAAGTGGGTATAAATAATACTTGTACTACCTTCCTCATCTCTGCTCCTGCCTACCCTGGCTTCTTTTCAAGTCCCACCTAAAATCCCACGTGCTCCAAGAAGACTTTCCTGGTCTCTCTTAATGCTAGTGCCTTCTTTCTGTTGATTATATCTAGTTTATCCTCTCTCTATCTCGTTTGTATTTATTTGTTCACAGGTTGTCTCCCCTATTAGACTGTGAGCTCTCTGAGAGCAGGGACTGTCTTTTGCCTTTCGTTGCGTCCCCAGCGCTTAGCACAGTACCTGACACATAGTAGGCACTTAATAAATGTTTGTTGACTTGAGGGGTTTGTTGTGAGGAAAGCCTTATGTAAACCATAAGGTGCTTTATGAAGTGGAGTTTTCATTGAAGAAGTCTGTTGTCCCAAGCGACATTCTTAGAAGGTGTGTTTGGATCTGTTCCTGGTACGAAAAGGACATTGGAAAAGAAATAGACTGGCTAGAGCCAGTGAGATAAGAGCATTTAAGAAATGGGCCACATCATACTGCTTAACTAGAGATACCCAAGGGAACACTAAGGGCAGCAAAGAAAGGGTATTAGTATAGTCTATCCACCCCTCCCTTCCCACATAACACACTAGGATCAGAGCAGACACCACAAAAGTGGAACTTGGAAGGAAAGAATAAGCATTTCTATAGTGCCTGCTATGTGCCAGGCTCTAAGCAATGTGCTTTTCTGTAAATATCTAATTTGAGACTCACAATAGTCTTGCAAGGTAGATGTTATTCTCATTTTTGAGTAAAGGAAACTGAGGCAAACAGAAGTTAAGTGACTTACCCAGGGTCACACAGCTAGTAAATGTCTGAGGCCAGATTTGAGTCAGGGCTTCCTGGCTCCAGGCCAGTACTCTGTCCTCTGTGCCACCTACTGCTTCTTGGAAGGGCAGCAAAAAGTTACAACTAGAAATATCTAGTTATCATCTATATTATGTCTATTATATCTAGTTATAATCTAATATTAGGGAACTTCAAGGAACATGTTTTTCAGGCCATAGCAAGAGGAAGATATCCATGATAGTTCTGTGAAGGGCTCTGGTGCATTGTTGGTTACTCCTGGGATTGCATCCCTGGATTACTCCTACCATCCGCCTCCCCTGCTTCTATTTGAGTGCTGTTGGAAGTCACAGAGCTGTGCTGTGTGGGAAAAATATAAGTTCATGTTATTCAGGTTCAACTGGGGAGCCCTTGCTGCAGTAAGAAAATCCTTTTTATTCTTCATTAATTGATTTCCTTTCTTACTCCCTATTTTCTCTCCTGAAGCCTCATATGAAGGAATTGTACTCAAAGGCCTCCTGAAATCCTTTCCAGTTCTAGTTCTGTGATATTCTCATCCTCTGAGACACAGAGGGAAATGATTTGCTGGTGCAGTTAGCTAGTGGTAGAACTGGAAAAGATATGTGTATGAAACCTTTAATAGAACACTACATTTTATTAATTTTAATTATACTTTCCATTAATTTCTACAGCTAGAAAACATTCACATTCTAATGATTGTTTTTGTTCCTACAGAAGATGGCTGTGCCACCTACTTATGCTGACCTTGGAAAATCTGCCAGGGATGTGTTTACTAAGGGCTATGGTGAGTTCTCTCTGGAAACTGTGCCATTTCTGTCATTGCATATCTGAGACTTGGGCTGTTTTCTATGTAAATTTCTACTTACCTTAGCATACAAGACGCATGTCAACTGCTCAAAGAATTTAGAATTATTTTCCTAATCCACTTTTTTTTCTGAGTGAAAATATAAAGGCTTCTAGAGTTGCCCAAAATAATTTACTACTTTGGATCCATGTTTTCATTGATGTAGGAACTTCTTGTGCTGCTACAAACTGCAACCCTTCAATGTCTTCTTAAGCATTTCTTGGCCATGTCTTTCTAGAATTCCTCAGTAGAGGCTCTACTAATGCACTGGCAGCTTTCCTCTGTTTTTAGAAATTCATCTATAAGAGGACAGTACTTGGTTGTCTATCTAATGTCTCTCATTCTTGCTACATGACTGATGCCTGCTTTTTTCCCCTGGGTCTCCATATCCTCTATATTTCCTGCACACTTTGTTTTTGAAAATAATGTGTCTAAACACTCAGAATACTGGGTGCATTAGTGATGATTAATATCACCTGTTAGAATAAAAATTGCATTAAATGGATGGTAAGAGATTCATTCAATGGTTCCATCTACCTATGAGAAGCATTCATCCTAAGCATTTAAGTAGGAAGTCCCTGGAATGTTCTCCTTTTCTTCATTCACACAATTCTGCCTAACCTGTGGCCAAGCTTTTGAAGCTGGCAGCCAGAACTCAGTTGGAAGGAAAAAGCAAGGTCTGACTTTGCCTTGAAGACAGTTATATGAACAGTACCAGAGGGAGATTTTTTTCTTCTTCTAAATTTAGCTCGTCATTAGACCTATGAGCACTGTGCCCAATGACTGCTGCACAGCAGTGCCAGCTTCCGCCTGGGCCAACCTAGGAAAGCAGGGGTGGGACAAGGGACCTCCCTAGGCTGGTATTCTCTGACAGCCCATTAGCAGCAGTGGCCTGATAATTATTATACAGTAGAAGCTTAGTGCATGCAGAGTTGAAAAATCCAGATTTTATGGTCCTTATTTTAAAAGGAACACTTAGAATATCACTAAAAGAATTATTCTTTCTAGGTAATTCTTCCCTATTAATATCTTTTTTTCCCCCTTTAGGATTTGGCTTAATAAAACTGGATCTGAAAACAAAATCTGAGAATGGACTGGTAAGTTTTTCAGTCCCTATAAATTTGATCCTGAAAATTTTTCGTAAAATAGTCCCCTGTTATCAAAAGTGGCACTTAGAAATGGTCTATAATTCTAGATGCTAATTTCAGTCGTTGTCTGTCTCATCGCCCCCAAACGTGTACTGAATCATCTACAAAGTTATCATTTCAAGATCATGTTAGGCTCTTCATTTTGAGCAGCTAATGAAGTGGGGGTGGCAACACAGAACTAGGGAGAGGATGCGCAGGATTGGGCCATAGAATCGCGGTTCATTTCTTCTTTAGATTTGAGAAAATGTTGTCAAGTGCCAAACACTGAGGAATTCCACCTCATCTGTGAATAATGAAGAGGGACAGCTGTAGCATTAGAAGACAGCTTTGATAGGGGGAAATAACATACATTTTTAAATTCTGGAAGATTTTCCATTGTTTAGATTCTCTATGCTAAACTTTTGGGGAGGCCTGACTCTGGGGCCTGGGCCTCAGGCCCTCCTTTCTCTGAAAACCATGTGCAAAACAAATTCCCTAATAATCATAAGAACATAGAATCTTTGATCTAGATTTGGGAGTAACCTCCACTCCTGTTATACAGATTGGGAAACTGAGGCCCATAAGGGTTAAGTGACTTGCCCAAGGTCATAAAGATAGTAAGTATCAGATGTGGGTTTTGAATCCAGGTCCAGGTACTTGACTCCAGTGATTCTTTCTTCTTTCCACATCCTTTCAGGTCACTGTGCCTGTTCCCCATGAAGCTCTGGTCAGGCCACAGGAAAGAATATTGTCCAGTCCTATAGGGGAAAGTTGGCTAACATTTCTCTTTTGTTCTTTGTTCCTTCACCAAAATTGACCCAGAGGCTTGAGTTTTTCCAGTAGGGGATTAGGTGGGGTGATTTTATTTTTGGAATTTTTTTTCAAACATATCACTTTTGTTAAAGGCTGGAAGAAATACTATTTTAGAAATTCTTTACTAGTTTGCATGGCATGGTGGGGAGGAGAAAGGACAGGTACTAAAAGAATCAATTCTCATCAACTTTATTTTCTTTTTAACATTCATTAAAAAAATTTTTTTAGTTGCACATCTTTCTTCCAGACCCTTGGGAAAGCAAGCAATATGATACCCATTACCCATGTCAAGTCATGCAAAGCATATTTCCATATTAGCCATATTGGAAAAGAAAAACAAAAAAATAAAGTCATCTATTTTTAAATTATTTACAGAAAAATTTCAATCCTAGGCTGACTTCTCCAGTCTCTTCACCATATTCCTTGGTCACCTTTCTTCCCCATTGATTGATATTTGCCCAGGGAACATGCAAACACAGATGTCATCAGTCTAAAACCAAAAGAGGCTTATAACCCTGCAAAACAAACAAACAAACAAAAAAACAAAAAAACCAAATCTCACATTATACATTCCAAACCAAGTCAAAATGATTTTTGGCATAACTACTGCTTCAGTTCCTGTACGTCATGGGTCCCTTGTGATGGAGGGATATTCAAAGGTGATCTATACTAATCAACATGTTTCACATTAGATGCTAATTAATGTTTAATCAGACAAGTTATAGCTTCTTGGTTTTGACTTTTCTCATTCCTTTTTTAAAATTATAAAACTGATTTCTTTGCATATTCTAACATGAGACCATGACTTTGATCTGTACTCTGTCCTGGTGAACTCTGTGAGGGTAGAGACAGTATTTTTGCTTTTTTTTTTCCTATCCCCAGTTTTAGCACCCTGCCTGGCACATAGTAATGGCTTAATAAATGTTTGTTGACTGATTGAATGATGCTAATAGTCACCTTTGTCAGGCATATGACTTGCCTAACTTTGAAAACCAGGGTGTTATTAACCAAAATTACCTCTTGCGTGTCTCTCAAGCTATCTTGTATGATTTTTGACATGGAGCCAAAAACCAACAACTGAGTCTTTTTGTCAATTGTGAGACTATAAAGATCTACCTTGCTCTAGTATATGGTTTGCAATAGCGTAGATGTTTCCTTCTCATTTCTTCCCAAGAGATGGAAAGGAAACCCAGTACATAGCCTGCTTGCTTGCTTCATTGGTATCCATGCAGTCAGGAGAGCAGGAGGAAGGTTACTTAGACTTCCTGTGTAGGATTTATGTCAGGATGTGGAAAAGAATCCTGAAGTTCGGATGTAATGGGTGGGTTAACTGTATCATTGATGAAATAACAGGTCTGTCCACATTCTAACAAGGGATTTAAATATTTTTAAAAATTAAATGTGTGGTAATTAAAACTGTTGTGTGTCTCTTAATGGATCTATTAGCAGAAACTACTAGCTTTTGGCATATAGGAGGCAGCATGGTAAAAGTAAAGAACCCACTTCTATGACTTACTACCTCTTTTCTCTTACAAAACTACTTAACCTTTCTAGGCATCAATTTCCCCATCTATGAAATGAAGGGGTTAGTTTAGGTGGCTTCTGTGGTCCTTTTTTGATCTAAATATGTGATTCTCTGAAGTTTGAAGAACTTTTCAGGTTGTAGTTCTAAGAAGACAGCTTCAGTTTAAGCCTTCCTTTCAAAGCCAATTTAAGGAAATGTACACAAAGGAGGACTCTGTTTCATGCCACATATAACTAAAATAAGAAGGAAGCTGTTTAGGCCCGAGTTCAGTTTAAGTCATTATGGAGTGCTTGTAAAACACAGGGCTTGTCATATACTGGGTGCTTAATAAATGTTTGTTCCCATCTCCCCCTTATGAAATTTGGAAACAAATAAATTGGAGTGAGGTGATTCTTTGTCTTGCAAAGTAATCCTTTGTTTAACTCCTTAGAATTGTGAGTTCCTCTGGTGATAAGTGTATAGATTCATCTTATGAAAACATCATTTGAACACAGCTAATGACAGTTTTATAACTAATAACAATAGCTGCTCACATTTTGGTTTACAAACACTTTAGTCACAACAGTACTACTATTCTCCCCATTTTATGGATGAGAAAACTAAGATTTAGAGAAGTCAAGTGACTTGCTAGAAGTCACATGGTCAGTGCTAGATAGATTCAAGACTTGAACTCTTTCTTAGAATCTAGTGTTCTTTCTACTACACCATGAAGTATTTCAGATATTTATTATATAATGGTAGGTATTGAACATTTTAGATAACCAATAGTCATTCTTCCCCATTTTAAGTCTGTAACTATATAATTTTGTGCCTCCCCCTAACTTAATTTCTTTCTTTCTTTTATAAAAGGAATTTACAAGTTCAGGTTCAGCAAACACTGAGACCAGCAAAGTTTCGGGCAGTTTGGAAACAAAATACAAATGGTCTGAATATGGCTTGACATTCATAGAAAAATGGAACACAGACAATACATTGGGCACTGAAATTACTGTTGAGGATCAGGTAACCATGTCCCTGAAGAGGCACCATTTTATGATTTTGTGTATTATAGCCTTCTTTGCAACTACAAATGCAACTTGTGAATTTCTTTTCTGTTCAGCTTGCACGTGGACTGAAGCTGACCTTTGATTCGTCCTTCTCACCTAACACTGGGTAAGAATTAAACTAGTTGAATTGGGTAACAAGGCTGCTTTGTCATAATGTCTGAAGCAAAGCAGTTACTAGGGGAGAAGGTGGGCATAGGATTCTGTGTTCTGAATAGCTTTTACTTATGGATCTATTTTATATTCAGTTCTGATTTTCTGCAATTTAAGACATGCTATAAGTTATATGTTCTTATGTTATAGCTCAGTACATGTGCATGTATGTACATTAAAAATATCTCTTACATCTGAGTGCAATCTGTGAAGGATACTAATTTTGTCACTAAATAATGCCTGATCTCTGTGTAAACTAAATCTACTGTGTAATATGAACTTGACATCCAAAAATCTGAGTATTAAGTAAAGATACATGCTATTGCCATATGCTTTGTTAATTCCAAAGGCTTAAGTGGCTCAGCAGTTACTTTGGAAGATAAACCAACTAGACTAAAGTAGAAGATGACTATATTGTGGTGTAGTGGAAAAAGTAGAGTCGCAGTTTCTTCATCTATAAATTAATGATGATACCTGCATTGTCATGCCATATATCTGAAGCTCCATTTCCTCAGCTGAAGAAATTGAGCATATTTAATCTAGGAAGAGAATAACTAGTCGAGGGAGTTGGAGACAATGATAAGTTCTTTCCAAATATTTAAAGGACTCTCATGTGGAAGAGGGATTACATGTGTTCTGTTTAGTTCTAGAGAACAGAACTAGAAAGACTCATGGATGTTGCAACAAGTAAGGCTGTCTATATGAAATAGCTTGAATGGGAGGTAGTAGTTTCCCTCTTAGTTGAGGTCTTTAAAAATTATTCATGCTATTTCTTTTTAAAATTAAGATTTTTCCACTATACAAAAATTCAGCTTTTCTCTCACCCTCCCATCCACTGTGCAATAGAGAAAAGAAGAAAAATAAAGCTCCTGTTACAAGCATATGTAGTGAAGCAAAATAAATTTCTACATCAGCTGTATCTAAAAAAATGGTTTAATGTCTTCTTCTGTCCTCGTAATCATTTATCTTTCTATCAAGGTGGTAGGTAGCGTATTTCATGAGTAGTCTTCTGGAATCTGACCAACAATAATTCTGATCAGAGTTTTTAAGTCTTTCAGAGTTGTTTGTCTTTACGTTGTTGTCATTGTATACTTTTTGTTCTGGTTCTTCTTGCTTCGCTCTGCATCAGTTCATGTAAGTCTTCCCAGGGTTCAATGAAACCATCCCTTTAAACATTTTTTATAGCATGATAGTATTTCTTCACATTCATGTATCATAAATTGTTCAGCTATACCCCAATTGATGGACACTCTCAGTTTCTAATTTTTGATATCACAAAAAGAACTATAAATATTTTTGTGCATCTTTAGTTAGTTTATTTTAATTTATCCACTCATTCATTCATTCATTCATTCATTCATTTATTTATTTATTAGTTTAGTTTATTTTGCTTGGGAACAACCCCTTTTCAGAGTTTGTTGCTTGAGCAATGTTTTACACGTGTTGTGCCAAGCTTTTAATTCCCTTTCTAGGTCTTCCATAGCTCTCATTTCTCTTCCTATTTTTCCTCTAGTGCTCTCATTTATCACTTAACATTTTGGAACTTTTTAAAAAAAACCCTCTCTTTATCTCTTCTAGGAATTCTAGTTGAATTTAATATTATAGCCAGGCCCTGTGTGCTTCTGGAGAAAATGTCTAAGCTGGTCCTGCTGCTGTTTTCTTGGGGTTGTGTTATTCCAGGATTTCAGGGACAGCTGAGGCTGGGGATCTGGAAGCTTTCAGTACTCCCAGAGGGTCTTATCCTAGGCAACAGGTGGTCATTGCCCCCTTGGTCAGAGCTTTGCAAGTTCCTGGCCTGGGTTTGGGTCTGAGCTGTGGACTTGTACCCTCTGAAGTTTCAAATGACTACTGTTGGACTCAGCCTCTATCACCCAGCTGGAAAGTTCTGCTGATTCAGAGCAGCAGAACCATAGGCTTTTCTTTGTTCTGGGTTTCCTTCCATGGTTATGTAGGCTTAAGATTTGACCTAGAAGCTAGAACTGAGATTGCACCCTACTCCTGGGGTCTGACCCATACAAATGTTGTTTCCTTGTTAGGTACACAATTTAGGGTGCGTAGATGCTCTTACCTTGTAATGCCACCCATCATTGAACATCCTCTCCTCATTCCTCCCCTAGAACTGAGTAGTGAGTGACAGAGCTGCCAATTGACCCTTGTTCCCTGCACCCTACAGGGTTGGGTCCTTTTTTCCTAGATCTGGAACATCTTGCCCTAGTGTACAGCCTCTCCCTGCACTGGAATACTCAGCCAGCTCCTGACCAGACCTCATCCCCAGTGTCTACAGACCTCAATTTCTGACTCCCTACACCTCCCTGATCTGGAAATGTGACTCACTGATTTTTTTTTCTTTTTTTAGTTTCCAGTCAGTATATGATCTGGTACATTTTCTAGTTCTCTGGAGGAGGGCTGTTTTTTCTTTTCTTTTCTTTTTTTTGGTTGGAGGAGAAACTCATTATACTTCTTCCTCCTACTCTGCCATCTTGGCCCTGCTTCTAGCATCCAATGCTATTCTTTTGTTATCATAGTAATTTCTGGATATTAACACCTATTTCTCACCCTAAAAATTGTATGCGTCCTTAAAAAAAACAACTGAGCAAAAGCCAATCAAAATAGTGACCACATCTGACAACATGTAGCTTCCTGTCCTCATAGTCCCCTGACTTTGTCAAGAAGAGGGAGATGTGTGTTGTTATCCATTCCCTAGGACCTTCACTGGTTTTTCAGTTATTCAGATTTTAGCTTCCTTTTAGTGAGTTTTCCTTTACATTTTAATAATTGCATATGTTCTTGTGGTTTAGCTTACTTAAGTCTAAATCACTTCATACAAATATTTCCCTGCTTCATTTCTTACTGCAAAATTATATCCTATTACACTTATATGTGGCAGTTTATTTAGCCCTGTGATTTATTGCTGGCTTCCTTGGATTTTATGTCCCATGAATAATTGAACCTCTACTGTTCTTTCTTTTTAAATTGATAGAAAAATGCCACTGTCAACTTTCCACTGTTACCTCCCTCCTGGTTTTTTAGCAATGTAGTCTAGCAGAAAGAGATAGAAAATGAAATTTCATTCAGAATTACTAAAGAATGTGTATAATATTTGGGAGTCCACCTACAAAGACATACAAAGAAATTATATAAATGCAACCATAAAACACTCTACTGACCTACATAATTGGAGAGTTGTTAATTGCTCATGGTTGGGCAGTGCTAGTATAATAAAAATGGCAACATTATCTAAATTAATTTATAAGATGCCATACACATGAAACTATCAAAGACTTTATTTTATAGAGCTAAAAATCAGTTGGGGAATAAAAGGGTGAACAAAGAATGTAAAAAAAATAGGTATGCACAGGAGAAAGAAAAGGGTTATTTGGTCTTGTATCAAGATGTGCTTCAGTGGTATTCTCATCCTAATTGAAGATGGACTGAAGAATGTTTGGTTGACACCTCCCCGAATCTCCCCCCCAAACCTTGGTGAAGTTATTGGAGGACAAATGAACAAGGGTTACGCAGAAAGGATATGCATGAGTAAGTTGTGATCTATATTGTTGAAAGGAGTGTACCCACTTCAGAGAGTCCACGGGACTCTTAGCTATTGAACTTTCCAAAGGGCCCATAGACAAAAATGTGTGTGTTCCATAATTTATGTTCCATGGGGCTCAATGGGACTTGTTTTAAAATAATAGCAATAAAAATATTGTTTCCCAGCCCTCCTTAGTTCAAACACAGTAAACCCAAGTGGCTAAGTACCTGAGTTAATGTTTAGCAATAGGATACATAGTAGGCTGGGTTAGAAAATTACTATAGGGTTCAGGGAATTGTGGTAAGTGTTACATTGTCAGAGACAGTGTTGCTATTATGTTATTGCATCAGTGCTTTTGTCTAATTTGGTTTCATTCTGGTTATTAGATACTCTATAACACTAGAATGTGTTCATTTTCACAAGTTAGGAGAATGATCCTCCTCAGTAAGATTTCAGCAACGCTAAAGATTATCAAAATATGACTTAGCATATACGTTTTACTTCATGTCATCTTAAGGACTATCTTGGCATATCTTCTTTCTAAATCACAGCTGATGTTTTAATTGTGCTTTGGTGTATTTTCCATATGTCATCTCATTTGAACCTCACAACCCCAGTCCCATGAGGTTGTTATTACAAGGCAATGTTAACCCCATTTTACAGATGAGAGGAAACTAAGTTTCAGAAAAGTTAAGGGACTTTGTGCTCACAGAGCTCACAAATAAAAATAATATTAATAGCTAGCATTTATATGCACTTTAAGGATTATAGTTGTTGTTCAGTTGTGACTGACTATGACATGCCAATGTTGTTCACGGGGTTTTCTTGTGTTGGAAGTAAAAATTGAGAGCAAAGTTCCAGGTAATAAAAATAAATTTATTAAATAGACTGGCCAATCAGTAAATTAATGGTCAGTGATTTGGTAATCAAAGATACCAAGGGAGACTGAAAAATCTTAAATCAGATGTGTTCCTTCTGACAGGGAAATCCCCTGGCAAGTGAAACTCAACCCTGATTAGTGGATATTTAATGAGAAGATGGGTTAAGATCCCTCTCAATCACTTCTTCATGGAGGTTACCTGAGAATGTGGTCTGGTATGAGCCCCCTTCAGCAGTCTGGGCATCTTGATCAGGTTCTCTCTAGTTTGGTTTGTCCTTCATGAGCTGGGTTGCCCTAAACTAATGAAGCAGAACAAGGACTGACACTCTTTCCCCTCAGGGAAGAACCTAACTCAAACTGGATACTGTTTATGCTGAAGATAGAAATCAGGTTCCCAGGTGGGTGGGCCCCAGCCCAGGTGCCTTGAGAAAAGCTGAAACGCTTATGACTTTTTTTAGTCTGAGAGGGGCTTCTCTTTGTTTTTTATTTATTTTTTCTTTTTTGTATTATGTTTTAAAATTAATTTATTTTGATTTATCAACAATCACTTCCATATGCTTTTGAGTTTAAAATTTTTCTCCCCCTTCCTGCCCACCACTCTCCCCAAGATGGGGCACAATCTGATATAGGCTATACATATACATTCCTATTAAACATATTTTCACATTAGTGATGTTGTAAGTAAGAATTAGAACCAATAGGAGGAACCACCAGAAAGAGGAAACAAAACTCAACAGAAGAAAAAAAATAGCAAATAGTATACTTCAATCTGCATTCAAACTCCATAGTTCTTTCTTTGGATATGGATAGCATTTTCCATCATAAGACATCTCTTAGATCCTTGTATTGCTGGGAAGGGCTAAGTTTATCGATATTAGTCATTGAACAACATGGCTGTTATTGTGTACAATGTTTTCTTGCTTCTGCTTGTTTCACTCAGCATCAGACCATACAAGTCTTTTCAGGTTTTTCTGAAGTCAGCCTGTTCATCATTTCTTATAGCACAATAGTATTCCATTACATTCATATACTACAACTTGCTTGGACATTCCCTCAATTTCCAATTCTTTGCCACCAGAAAAAGAGCTGCTATAAATATTTTTGTACAAGACGGGCTTCAGAAGCCCCTTTTGACAGAGAAAGGAATATTACAAATTATTATTAATAATCAAATGGTATTATATTAAAATTATTTTTTCTCATTTGGCCAAGATACTAGAGTAATTTGCCATTTCCTTTTCCTGTGGATCAAGGCAAACAGAGGTTAAGTGACTTGCCCAGGGTTGCACAGCTAGTAATTGTCTGAGGCTGCATTTGAACCCAGGTCTTCCTAGGCATAGAGGCAGGTGGCTCAGTGGATAGAGTACTGGGCCTAGAGTCAGCCAGACCTTTACAAATATCCTCCCAATAACCCTGGGTGGTAGTTGTTATTAATAAATATTAAAGTAGTGGTAGTTGGATTGGAACCCAGGTTTTGCTGGATCCAGTACTATCCACTGTTACTTTTTCCTCTAATGCTAAAGTCTGGATATTATTGGATTTCTAGGTATACTTATTATAATGAAGTGATATATCCATTGAAATCTGCATATTGGGTATAACTACTGTTATGCTATATATAAGTGCTGATTGTGAAGATGATAACCCTGCTTTCTTTTCCTTTAGGAAAAAAAGTGCTAAGATTAAGTCAGGATATAAGCGGGAACATATCAATCTTGGCTGTGACATGGATTTTGATATTTCTGGACCTTCAATACGAGGAGCTGTGGTACTTGGCTATGAGGGCTGGTTGGCAGGCTACCAGATGAATTTTGAAACTTCTAAATCTCGGGTGACCCAGAGCAACTTTGCTGTTGGCTACAAGACCGATGAATTCCAGCTACACACCAATGTGTGAGTGAAAAAGGACAAGAAGCTTTGGTCCTGTCCTTTCCCCTTTCTTTCTCATCCCTGGTTGGAAATGATGAAGCCTTCACTTAGTACTTACTGGCAAAGTATTTGTATTTTTGTCACAGTATTAGTCCATGTTGTTTTCCTGGAGGTAAAACTAGCTGGTACTTTCTTTGTGAACTAAAAGCAACAAATGTATTACTTTGTAAACACAAAATGACAGATTGGTTGCAAAAGCACCAGACAGATTGTAAACTGGGAAGAAAACCTAAGTAATAGTTAGAAATTAAGTGGCAGAGAAACTTAGAGTTACCGACCTTCAATTGACGGAAGGTAGTCATGGTGATAAGATACAGTGAGGTAAGCACAAACTTTTTTTTTTCTCCCTTTCCAGCAGAGGTCACTAGAAGTTAGGCTTCTTGTTACAGTTGAGACCTATTTGCTCCTGTGTTTCTGACTCTTCATAGGTTCCTTCCTTTATATTCACTGTCAGAAACAAAACAAAACAAAACATGTGTTTGAAGGTTTTTCTGGTTCTTTCTGAGGCTTTTTTAAAGCCAAAAATAAAAATTTGTAGACAGACTTTGAAAAATGTTTTTAGCACTCCAATGACCCATGAGACACCCACTTGTGCTGTAGAAAATCTCATCTCCAATTAGACCTCAAAAAGGTGCATCAATTGGTGGTCTTTCCAGGGTACTCTTTTCTCCTGCCCAGTTTGCCTTAAGTAGCTCTGGGTTGATTTCTCAGTAGTTTTCAAATAACAAATGCCTGGGAACATACAAATGTTTGGAAGCTGCAAGTTAGCTCCTAATTGGGTGAACCCAGCTTTATACTCTGTGACAGAATATCATAGTTTTACCAAATTTCATAGACTATTTTAGAATTCTGAATGGAGTTTCCTTAGTGATTGAGGCCTTTTAATTTTTGAGATTGCAACCAGGATTTTGTAATAAGTAATAATAATTGATATTTACATAGCATTTTAATGTTGGCATAGTACTCTAAATTATCTCATTTGAATATCACAATTCCCTAAAGTACTTTGATACTTCAGATATTATTAACATCATATTGTAGCTGATGAAACTGAATTCATACAGGTGGTAACTTGTCCAAAGTCACATAGTTTTGGAAGTGGGATTTGAACCTAATTTTTCCTAATGACATATGCTGCTTTAACCACTAATCTTGGTTGAAAAACAGTCAGCCCAAACTTGTAACCAGATCTGATCTTTTTTAGAAATTGTCAGAATGATGAACTAGAACAGTGGAATGTTTCTTTCCAGTTAAATTTATGGAAGTATTTAAAGACCAGTTTGGGGAATTGTTCATATTTTGGTAGAGAGAGAGAGAGGAAGCAAGTCATTCTTTTATAGGCCTCATTGTTCTTCCTCAGAAATAAGCCAGTCAGCAAGCATTGGTTGAGCATTTACTGGGCCTCAGTTTCCACTTTTGCAAAATGAGGTCAAGTCCAGCCAGAGTAGATGAATTTTGAAGCCCCTTCCAGCTCTGACCTTTGACAGTATAGTGAATGATACATCTCTATCTTCCAGAATAGACCACTCTGACAATAAAGAATACACTGATGGAGCTGCTGGAGCTCACCAGTGCCTGTGAAGTGACTAGCTTGGCCCTTGACACTAAGAATAAAAAAGATGAAGACCAGACCCACATTGATAAAATCTTGAGGGTTTGGAAGTGAGGATGTTGTGGTTTTCTCTTTATCTCTGAAAGGTTGTTTTTCTTTCTTTCCCCTTTCTTATCTCTTGGGTATCTTAGAAAGATAGATGAAATATTCACTTTGGTTTTCAAAGCAGGGAGCTCTCCACTCCTCCCCAAAATCCCTCCCAATTTCATCAAAGACACAATCAATTGGGTAATAAGAGGTAACCCAAGTTTCTCAGGCTGCAAGATGTGGACAGACTTAAACCTGGATAATCCATCAGGCAGGTTATTAGCTCCTGTAATCCCTACTTGGCAGCAATGGAAAGAATGATTTGAAGGCAGGGGACCAGGGTTTGATCCTTGTGCCACACTTTACTACCGTGTTATTTTGGGCAAGCCATTTAGCCTCATTTCTTCTTTAAAATGTGAGTGTTGGATGACCTGTAAGATCCGTTCCAGCTCCAAGTCTCTGGTCCTGTGATGTAAGCCTAATCCTGTGCTAAGGATCATGGAGGATGAATTCCCTTGCGTAGGCTACAGTTCTGTGGGAAAGGCAACACTAACAAGAATCGTATAGCACAAAATAAAGTAGAACAAATCAGAAATGCAGTAGGGGTTTGGAAGTTTGAACTTTTTGAAATTTTGGAAATTTATAGAAGCATGTTTAGAAATCAGATCAATGGAGGGGAGTGAGACAGGTCTTGCAGGTGGGTTTTTAGCAACATGAATAAAGAAAAACAAATCTGGATATAAATCTGACATGTGTGAGAACAATGAGGAAATCAATTTAAGGGATGTTCTTGAAACAGTAGGAGATAGTGGGTTGGACTAGGATGTGGAGGGCTTTTAAAATCAATATTCTGTTTCATTTGGGTGTTACAGAACAGAATAATAATACCATACAAAAAATTCCTAAAATACTTAAATTTCTTAAAATGGAGTCTCAAAACTGTGGGAGCATATTTCAGTGGAAAATCCTGATTGGATTTTCACAACTCTCTTTTCAATGTGCCTAAGTGGTGACAGTTTAGAGTAAGAATTAGTTTCTTCCATCACTGCTACTCTTGCAATGGCAGCCCTGGATAAATTTCATTGCCACACTTCAGAATACGTTGCAGCTGTCCATTCTGGAGGTCATGACATGTAGCTAATATTAAAAACTGCTCAGAAGTCTCAGCTATAGCTGAGAGTAATATCTCAGAATGTCAACTATAGCCAAGATAGGATTCCTGTGTCTCTTTTGTGCCACCATCTGCACTATCCACTCCTGTACTTTTTACCATTTTAGATGTAAACTTTGGTTCATGTGGCTATTTGGCTTCATTATAGAAACCTAGGCTGTCTTCTAGCAGCCCTCATGTGGCTGAAATAGTATGCCTCTCATCTCTGATCCTCCCTGACTCATGTTTCTGTCCAATTTTTACATACCTTCTTAGTGAAGTTCGATAAAGACTATGTTATTCAAAATTCCTATGACAACTTTAGCCCATTAAAAAATTCTCTATGATTAGCTTTTTAAATTCAACACAATTCCACATGTATTTATGAAGTGCTTGCTACATTTTCTGGGTTTGTCTTCCAATGGCATTTTGCCATTTGTTTCCTGTGTTTGGTTACAGGAATGACGGCACAGAGTTTGGGGGCTCTATTTATCAGAAGGTGAACAAGAAGTTGGAAACTGCTGTCAACCTAGCCTGGACAGCTGGAAATAGCAACACTCGTTTTGGAATAGCAGCCAAATATCAGATTGACCCTGAAGCCTCTTTCTCTGTGAGTACATGGGTCTTCACAAGCTTGAAAGGAAATGTAGAACTATTTTCCATTTTTAAATTCAGCTGTTGTGTGCTCCAGGAATACTGGGCTTTGGTTTCAGTGACTTGTCCTTTATCTCTTAATGAGCTTGCAGCATGCATTAAGGTTTAATATACATGCTTTTATTTTTGTTTTTTAAAATAAGTTTTATTAATTACTTTTGGTTTTAAATAAGTCATTCTTTGATTTACCTCTTCCCATGTTTCACATAAGCCTTCCCTAGTAACAAAGGAAAAAAAACAGCACTCATTAAGTATTTAAAAAGCCTTTTTCTCTGGTGGATAGCCTTAGAGACTATTCTTATTGCCATTAGTGAAATGTCTCATGTTGCCACATATGCTGTGTTAACAGTTCTTGTCCTTTGTAACTCTCTTCTCTGGAGTGAGTAAAAATGACCCCACTCCTTAGGGTGGCAGGAGGTAGAGAAGAAATGAGAAGGAAAGCAAATGTCATTGTGCTTTCTATACCTTTTCCATCTTCATTCAGCCTCTTACCTATGCCCTCCATTCAATTATTTATATTTCACCAAATGACTGGTTTGTGTCTGGGTTTGGAATGAATAGATAGTCATTATCACCTACCTGGGCCACCTGAAGTCATAACTACTTAGAAATTTTAAACAAGGAATCACACCATTTAGAATGACCTCAATAATTAAAACACAGTTAATCCTTCATGAGGTAACTGTCAAAAGTTATATTTCTAGGAACAATGAAGAAATGCATGATTTTTTTCTTGGAAATCGGGTTTTCAAGGCTTGTTACATATATTGATTTAAACACAACATTTGAATACTTATTTTGCATTCACTCTCCAAGAGCTAATTTCAAGTTTTCATGAATTCTGTATTTTATGTGTTCCATAAACATGGGAAGAAAGTCATTCTGTGCTGAAACCCAGAGTTGGTAGATGATAAAAGCTTTCTAGTTCACTTTATAGCACTTAACTCTTTTCTTTTTTGTCTAAATAGGCTAAAGTGAACAATTCTAGCCTGATAGGCTTAGGTTACACCCAGACTCTAAAACCAGGTAAGGGTTACTTGTGGATGAAATCCACTTTTTGTCTCAACAGTAAGAATATTTTGTGTTGTATATTATTGGTTGTGGGATTTTTCTGTAATGTTTTATATTAGGGTTTGGTTTGAAAGACCCTTAGGTGGATGGTAAGACTTAAAGCCAAATTGTTTCTCAATTTTAGTTCAGTTTCACCATTGGTATAATGAGGTTAAATGATGTCATTTGAGAGGCAGAGTGGAGAAGTTGAAAAAGCATTGAATTTAGAAGCAGAGAATTGGGTTTGAATCCTGGTTATGATACTACTCGTGTGACCTTATATAAGTCACTTCACCCCCAAGGCTTCAATTTCCTCATCTGTAAAATCAGGTTGGGTCATATGACCTCCAAGGTCCCCTCCAGCTTCCTAAGTTATGTTCTCTAGCCTTCAACTTCTGATTCTCACCACCAGCCTAAAAGTAATCCCAATTATTATTGACCAGAAATGAAAAAGACATCCTCATTCTATTCCTTTGACCTATGTACAAGTCTTCTGACTATCCTGCTGAGCCATTTGGATTTAGTTAGTATTTCAAGTTCTTCCAAGGAACTGATCAGTGCTAGACATGTGATTGATTTCTTCTTCTTGTCGTAAATTCATAGACTCAGAGTTGGAAAAGGCCTTAGAAATCATTCAGCCCAACCCTTTCATTTTTGAAGACGAGGAAGTTTAGGCTCAGAAATGGTGAGGGTTCAAAGTCACACAACAAGTCAATGTCAACTAGACCAGAGTTAACATCTGCTGAGTCTAAACTCAGTGCTCTTAACCATGCATCCAGTCAAGATAAATTCTAAGACTTGGTAATGCATTCTTGTATACTAAATATATTGGGGAAAAAATGGGGGAACAAATGGGGGAAATTAGTTGTTACAAGATACTTCTTAATCATTGCATAAGATGTGTTTCTGGGACATAAATGATAAGGGGAGGGAAATGGACCCAGGTGCACTTGGTTGTGCCAGACAACATGGAAAATCCAGTGGGAATTTCAGAGGAGAATAAGCTGAGAGGAAAAATAACAATTTGAAGGTTTAAATGACATATAACTCTTAAAGCACCAAGTACATGTGAGTTAATTGTAGTGAACTTAAGGTAGGACCTTAAATTGTGGAAGGCAGGTAGACTTCAAATAGGTGTGATCTTTATTGTTCAGGGACATCCACACCAGTGAGATTAGTGTTCCATTTGAATATCATCAACGTTAGGCAGCATGGTGTAGCACAGAGATGTCAAACTCACAGCTGGTAGGCTGCTTTGGTGAGCAAAACTCCAGAGTGCAACTCAAACTAGATTAAAATGTAATTGAGAAATATTTGACAAAATAAATAAAAATACAGTACAACATAGAAAACATTAATGTGTAGTTTTCTAAGTTAATATGCAGCAAGTAGTTTCTTTTTGTTTGACACCCCTGATTTAATGGATACAGACTTGAAGACCTGAGTTCAAATCTTATCTCTGACATATACTGACTGTGGGACCATAGGCAAGTTAATTAACCTGTTAATTAAGCTGTTGTAGACAGCTGTCTAAGGCTTTTAAGTTACAGAAAGAGTACTGACCTGCATTGGTAGAGGGAATTTTCTCACCTCAGAGTTTCCTATATTAGGGAAAATTTTTTTTCTCAAAATTTTTGTTCTTGGGATCTCTTTTCATTCTCAAAAATCATTTAGAACCCTGAAGAGTTTTTGTTTATGTGGGCTTTATCTATCGATAATATTAGAAATATTAGAAATAAAATATTGATAATAAAATATAAATAAAATTTATAACAAAATATTAGAAATAAAAATGAATACATTTCATAAATACTTAATTCATTAAAAATAAGTCCATTATATGTTAATGCAAATAACATAATTTTTCTACGAAAAATCAACTATATTTTCCAAAACAAAAACCAATTTAGAAGTGTCATTGTTTTACATATTTTTGCAAATTTCTATAATGAATAGTTTGATAGAAGATAGCTAAATTCTTATAATTGTTTATTCAATTTATTGTGATATTTTGTTTTGGTAGAACTATATAAAGAAAATTGTCCTCATATTGAAACATAATTGGAAACGGGAGGGACTTTTTAGTGGGCAAATAACACGTTTGTTAGAACCCCTGAAGGATTCTTGGTGAACCCTAGGAGTCCACAAGCTGCACTTTGAGAACTGCTGCCATATGCTTAATGTCCCTATCTCATAAGTGTTTCCAAGAAATTCTGACTTTTTTTCTTCCTAACTTTATTACATAATAGTCTACACATGTGACCACTCAACCAGAAGACATTTGTGTGACTTGGTATGCTTGGAGTTCTTCCTAAAAGATAAAGATACTGTCTCTGCCCTCAAAGAACATTTCTAATGGGAGGTTCTGAATTTTTTATGGTTTATGTAAAATATTTTAATCTTTCATTGATGAAATCTTTCTTCTTATCCCGATTGTTTGCACTATAGGTATCAAACTGACATTATCAGCTTTGCTGGACGGCAAGAATGTCAATGCTGGTGGCCACAAGCTTGGTCTAGGACTGGAATTTCAAGCATAAAAGAAGTTGTATAATCACTTAATTTTAAAATATTTTGCAGGATAGCTACCTTCAGAAATTAGTGTACCTTTTCATGTTGTATGTCTGGGACGCAAGTATTGCTATGTATCAATCATGTTAGACCTCCAGGTTAAAGATGATGCAGCTTTAAAGTGTTATCCTTTCAGAGATACAGAAGAAACCCGACTCAGAAAAAAGGTCCTTTCAGCTCCAGGCTTTTGAGGGGATATGTGATGATTCCCACAACAGCTTTCAGAATTCTCTTAAGGATTGAAAGGGTGCATTGAGTCGCCTTTTTTATCTAGAGATAGCTGCTAGTGGAAGGCAATGACATGTGGGCACTTAGTAAATGTGGACTGATTAAATGAATGAAATTTTACTCCCTGAGAATTCATGGTCCATTGCAGTCAACTTGGCTACATATCTATCCTAAGTGGGTAGAAAGAGGCTCATTCCTTGATGGAGTGAAAACTTGTCTGAAAAGGGGACTCTTTTTTTTTTTTTAAGTCAAATCCTTATGAATTGTTCCAGCCTTGGTTAGTTACTTCTGCCAAAAGTTGTCTGCAGAGTCCTTTAGGTGTCCATTTTGTACCATTTTGTTGTGGAGCCAGTTTGATGTGATTAAGACAATATGTAGTACTTAATTCCCAGTCTCGTGGTTCCATTCACTTTGGCTGAGTTACATATAAAGAGGCTGCTAGGACACAGAACCATAAGCAGGGAAGAGTCTGTGTAACTGTGCTCACATAGTGACATTATTTGGAATCAAAATTGGACTTCTGTTGTATTCTCACACTAATTTTTTTTTAGCAATTAATGGATATATTTTAGAATCTTCCATATTGTGTGGAATTAGATGCCTTCCCCTCCAAATGCTGTACTTACCACCACTTAAAAATACAACTTGAATAAAATATTGAAACCTCTGCCTTTTCCTCTTTGTTTTTAATTTATTTATTTTACATATCAAAGTAGCTGTTAATAGAAATAAAAATACACATGGGCTTAGAACCATGTTGAATACTTTTGACCCTTTTCTATAAGTATACCTTATTCAGACAAAGGTTAAATAAGAAGAAAGAGCATGAACACACATTTTTAGAATGGATTTCAGGCAGAAAGAGTACTGCTCTTCCTTTGGTTCTAATGTTTTGCTGTGCCCCAAGTATCAGAAAAAGTACATGTGTTAGTATTTGTTGTGATTTGTATTTGTCTCAATTTGTTTATCTGTGGATGTGCTTACAAAGCTCGTTTTTTTTCCTTTACACCATGGCTGCATTTAGGGGATTTTGAAATGAGGATTTGTCAGGTTTCATCATGCTAGCTGTTGGTAAAATCAAATGAGATGAAAAGTCTTTAAAAGGAATGTCACTGATTTGTTCATTAAAACTATTCTGTTTTTAGTTTTGTATCCCTAGGGGCTAATATAACACCTTACCCAGAGTAGGTATTTAATTAACATTTTTTAATTGAAATGAGTGTATCCTTGGATAAAGCTTAGTACCTTTGAAAGATGACTGGCTTCGCTATGAGTAGACTTGGATTAAAATCCTGGTCCTTCCAATTATCACCTATATGAGTTTAGGTGAGTTAATTTTATATTTCTAGGTGTGTTTTCTCATCTGTAAAATGAAGTGATTTCATGTAAATTATCTCTAGAATGCTCTCCAGCTTTATATGTCTGGGCCTAAGTGAACTAATTCAAACAAGCATTTAAGTGGCTTCTGGGTCTAAGGCACTGTGCTAAATGCAAATGATAAGATGATAAAACAGTCCCTGCCTTCAAGAAGCTTATATTCTTTTAACTTAAATACAAATTAAAAGGAAAAAAGTATTGCCATGTGCACAGCAAAATGTAGGAAAGGATTAATAATATACAGCAATAAATTTCCATTTCAAGAAAGCCTATATAATGCCATACATTGTGTTCAGAGCTGTCCATCTTTGCTTCCTTGTAAGTTTTCTTTTGTTCTCTGCTGTACAATTTTTACTTTGTTCTTTTTTCCCCCTTCCTCTACCTCCAAGAAGGCTACAATTAAGTGAGACTATATATTATATATGTGTGTATGTATACATACATATGCATATATATATACTTAGATATCTATAATCATACATAGACATACATTCATATACATCTATATAAAATTGTACTATACTTGTTTGTCCTCTGTTTCTCTTGAGGGTAGATAACCTCTTCCTTCATAAGTCCAAGTGTCCATATTTTTCTATGTCCACCAACTCATCATTTCTCACACCACAACAATATTCCAACCTTATACTGTCTAGTTATTTTGAATAGTCTAAATATTGATTAATATGGCTGACATATAATGTAGTTTCCCTATTTTTCTCTTTTGATTAAATCTATTTTAGCTTTAACTTTGTCTGAGATCATGATTACCACCCCTGCTTTTTCCCCCCAATAAATTCTACTCTTGATCTTTATTTTGTGTTTGTGTGTATCTCTTATTTCCTATCCCTCCTGACTCCTACACTCCTACCCACTACGTTACCTTCTTATTACTTAACCTACCCTACTCACCAAAGATCCCTCCCTTATCCTCTCCCCCAACCCTTTCCCCTTATCCTCTTGTTTCTGTCTGAATTTAGAAGACTTTTATAGCCTTCAAATATGTTATTGTCTCTTTATTCCATTCCCATTAATCTAGATACCCTTCTATACCTGCCTCTTATCCTATTCCCTCACCCTCTTATTTCTTTATAAATTTAGAAGACATCTTCTAAATGTATATATATATATATATATATATATATATATATATATATTGTTTTCTCTTTAACCTAGATCTGATGTGAATAGAATTCCCTCAAAAAATCTCTCCCTTATCCTCTTCCCTCTTCCCATCCCTGTAGCCTTTAATTTCTTTCTGAATTTAGAAGACTTTTACACCCTTCTAGATATATAATTCTTTAACCCATTCCTGATGAGAGTAGGGTTCCAGAACTACCACCTCTCCTCCCCCATCTAATTCCTCTGTGTCAGTTCTTCCTCTGGCACCTCATTTGTATAATTATTCTTTTTGCATTCTAAATGGTTTTACCTTTTACAATCACATGATACTTAAGTCTACCCTAATCTTTCAAACTACCTAATGACTAATAACAATCAGACATACAGTTTATATTAAGTTCAGGTTTTTTTTTTTTTAACAAAATCCTGAAAGTCTGGCAATTCATTGAAAATCCATTTTTTTTCCCCATTCAGGATTATGGTTAACTTTGCTGGGTATGATATTTTCTGCCACAACCCCAGGTCTTTTGCTCTTCAATGTATATTGTTCCAAGACCTATGGTCTTTTAGTGTTGCCGATGTTAGGTCTTGTTGATTCTAATTTTGGCTCTACTATGTCTCTTCTTTTTTTGTTGTTGTTGGTTTTTTTTTTAAGGCAATTGAGGTTAAGTGACTTGCCCAGGGCCACACAGCTAGTGAGTGTCAAGTGTATGGTCTGAGGCCACATTTGAATGCAGGTCCTCCTGACTTCAGGGCGGGGCTCTATCCACTGCACCACCTAGCTGCCCCCCACCATATCTCTTCTTGATCTGTTCTCCAGATCAGTTTTTCTTATGAGATGTCTCACATTCTCTTCCATTTTTTCATTCTAAGTTCTGTGAATTCTTTTTTGGGCAGGTGGCCATTTGATGTTACGCTTTGGGGTAGGAGAAGCTTTTTTTGCTTCAGTATCCTCCTCTGAAGATGAACCTCAGTTTTTTTCTATTCCCATAGTAACTTTCTATACTTAGGTCCTTTCTCCTTTGCCTGCTCATTTTAAAAAAATTTGTAACAGCGTATTGTAATCACCTCTAGTCCTGGGGTATGGGAGATGGTACCTCTGGCCTCAGATCCTTCTTCAATTCTCCTCTCTGGCCTGGAACTGAGAGCTCCGCTCTCCTGTAAGCCAGCTGTGTCCCTGCCCCACTGCTTCTGTACTCATTCAACCAGTATGTGCCTTCTCACCTAGGGTCACATCGCAGCAGCACAGCTGGGTCTGGTGTCCCTTAGCAGAGGTTCCCTCAATCTTACCCTGCTCAGATACCTGATTCCCCTGCTGCCTGGGAGGTAAAAATTCCTGTGGCTGTGCCTGAGGCTATCTCTGATCTTCTAGCCCTTGAGCTCACCACTTGCCATTTCAGAGGAACTAGCCTGGAGGTGTTTACATTTCACCTGGGTGTCTTCAGATCTTCTCAGGTTGTCCCTGGAGGGAACCACCAACTCTTGTTTATTTCTACTCTGTGTTGGCCCTGAGGCACTATTTTAACTTGTTTATGGGGAAAATCTGGAGAGCTTGGAATTTTCTGACCTCAGGCCATTTTCCCAGAATCCTTCCTAAGAAGCTTATATTCTATTGCAAGGATATAGAAATAGATAAGTATATACTTAATTGGAGGAAGTTAAGAGTGTTTTGTTTTCATTCCTCTCTGGCTTCAGGATTGTGGAAAGAAACTTTAGATTCTCTTAGGATTTTTTCCAAACCCTGATGTCAGTCACCATTTATATTGAGCCTATGGGAACAATCCCCTACCCCAATCCAGTTACCCAACAGTAAGATGAAGCCTAGGGTTTGGTTTCTCTTCTAAACTATTTCTTCTCAGGTAAAGCAGAATGGCTTCTTTGTCCCAATCCCAGGATACACTATTGATTTAATAAGCTGAGTATCCATGGAGAAGAATATGGAGTGCTTAGTTGCTAGAGAATATTAAGGGAACTTGAGAACCTTTCATGACTGTGTGTAGCCATCAATCTATTCTGGAGGATATTCTAGGCCAGAGTTTAGCTGCCTATTTTTGCATGACTGCAAGCTAATACTTTTATCCTATTCAAAAATGCAAAAACCATTCTCTGCTCCCTGTTCTAAACTACCCAGGATTGAGTTTACATATTAAGCCGGACTTGAGCTCTTGCTGAGTTTGTGGCTGACCAGTCTTGGTATTGTGAATAGCATAGACTGGTTTAGGAAGTTGCTTTACTCTTGTTCTTTTTTTTTTTTTTTTTTTTTAGGCAATTGGGGTTA